TTCTGGGAGTTGTAGGCTAAAATACTTGGGGACCCACAAGTTGAGAGCCACTGATCTACAGAGATACTGGGTTGTTGTATATGGCCATGGTCTAGAGGCATTTTCTCCTGACGTTTCGCCTGCATCTATGGCAAGCATCCTCAGAGGTAGTGAGGTCTGTTGGAACTAGGAAAAAGGGTTTATATATCTGTGGAATGACCAGGGTGGGACAAAGGACTCTTGTCTGCTGGAGCTAGGTGTGAATGTTTCAACTGACCACCTTAATTAGCATTTGATTGCCTGGCAGTGCCTGGAGCAATCTTTTGTTGAGAGGTGATTAGATGTCCTTGTTTGTTTCCTCTCTGTTGTTGTGCTGTTCTAATTTTAGAGTTTTTTAATACTGGTAGCCAGATTTTGTTCATTTTCATGGTTTCCTCCTTTCTGTTGAAATTGTCCACATGCTTGTGGATTTCAAGGGCTCTGAACAAACGCAGCATTGCCCAAACACGAATCAAGGAACATGAAAGGCACTGCACACTACTTCAACCAGAGAAGTCAGCCATAGCAGAGCACCTGATGGAACCAACCTGGACACAGCATATTATTTGAGAACACAGAAATGCTGGACCACTCTCACAACCACCATGTCAGGCTACACAGAGAAGCCATTGAAATCCACAAGCATGTGGACAATTTCAACAGAAAGGAGGAGACCATGAAAATGAACAAAATCTGGCTACCAGTATTAAAAACTCTAAAATTAGAACAGCACAACAACAGAGAGGAAACAAACAAGGACATCTAATCACCTCTCAACAAAAGATTGCTCCAGGCACTGCCAGGCAATCAAATGCTAATCAAGGCGGTCAGTTGAAACATTCACACCTAGCTCCAGCAGACAAGAGTTCTTTGTCCCACCCTGGTCATTCCACAGATATATAAACCCTTTTCCTAGTTCCAACAGACCTCACTACCTCTGAGGATGCTTGCCATAGATGCAGGCGAAACGTCAGGAGAGAATGCCTCTAGAACATGGCCATATAGCCCGAAAAAACCTACAACAACCCAGTGATTCCGGCCATGAAAGCCTTCGACAATACAGAGATACTGTCACGATACTAAGGCTCTGCCTTATTCAGGTAGAGATGAACCAAACAAAAACCCAGTTTGTATCAAGCAGTTTAATTAAAACAGCACTTACTTTCTGCAGTTTTAATAGTCCAAAATATAAAACATAAAGATTGCACTCAGCCACAGAATATAAAACAAAAACAGCAAACACCGTTGCAGGTTCAAGATAACTCCATAGTCACAAGGTCCAATCCAGTGGTCAAACGCCGAGAGTTCAATAAACAAAGTCCAGGGATCAAGAGTCTATACTGTAGTTAAAAGCCAGTCCAAACATTCAAGGTTCCAGGATTCCAAAGGTTGAAGAGACAGGTCAGGACACTGAAAATCCTCAAACCTGGGGGAAAGCCAGCAGCATCTACCACCAAAATAAGACAAATACTTTTCTCCTGAAGATCAGTCCCAAGGCTAGCTCATTATATCCAGAAACACCCAGCTGCAACCTATCTCTTGCATCCCCCCACCCGTAATTGCTTTCACCCATGAACTCTTACTTACAGATTACTCAACCCTTTAGAACTAAGACTTACATTAACCCTTCCATCACCAACTGCTAGGTCTACCACCACCAACCGCTCTGAGCCCCAGGGGAGTGGCGGCATATAAGTTTGAATAATAAATAAACCACCAGCAACTGCAGAACATGATACTTGACAGATACTTGCAGGAACACCTCAGCAAGTAAGAGTCCAAAAGTGGCAGGCCAAAACCCAGAACTTTAATCAGTGGTTGAGAGACTCCCTCCTGGGCACACAGAAGACTGGGCAACTTGGAAGGCACTAAACAGGCTGTGCTCTGGCACCACAAGATGCAAAGCTAACCTTAATAAATGAGGCTACAAAGAGGAGCCCACGACATGTGAGTACGGAGAAGAGCAAACTGGAGACCACCTACTACAATGCAACCTGCCACATGTACAATGGAGGATCTTCTCATAGCAACACCAGAGGTGCTCCAAGTGGTCAGCTACAGGTCAAAGGACATTTAGTATACAGTGTTCCCTCACTACTTTGTGGTTCACTTTTTGCAGACTCGCTGTTTCGCAGGTTTGTGCCCCCCAGTTTATGAATGGTTGCCGTTGCCCAAAAGAGATTGCAAATCAAAGCAGAGATAGCTAGCAAACAAAAGGTGTGCGGTGCCTTTAAATCTCTCCTCGCTTCTGCCTCATCCTTGGAACGTAATATACATATATAGCATCCCTGCTTCACGGATTTTCACTTTTCGCGGGTGGTCCTGGAATGCAACACCCGCGATAATAATTTATTATTATTTTAAACCTTTATATCCCAATCTTCTCCACCTCCGTAGAGGGACTCAGACCGGCTTACAGCAAGGATTCAATGCTAATAGTACAATCTAAAAACATCATATAATAACAAGTTAAAATACATATCGATTAAAATTACAAATAAGCCAAATCATGTCCAACTCAGTCCGTATGTGTGGTCGATAACTTTGTTCTGTAGCCGGTTTCAACCATTTCTCTGGGAATGCTGCCTTCCATAGCCAGGATTTCACCAGCCTCCTAAAGGACAGGAGGGAGGGGGCAGATCTGATCTCAATCGGGAGAGAGTTCCACAGCTGAGGGGCCACCACAGAAAAGGCCCTGTCTCTCGTTCCCGCCAGACACGATTGCGAAAGTGGCGGGACTGAGAGCAGGGCCCCATCAGAAGATCTTAATTGTCTTGATGGTTCATAAGGGGAATGAAACCCAACCTTGCCACCAAAGTAGGAAAGAAACCAATAGCCAGACAGCCAGAGATTGAGAACAACAACCTTCATGAACCCTTTACATCTACTGAATTGGACATGGCTCTCAATAAATGTAAAAATGGCAACGCAGCTGGCCTGGATGATCTACGGATGGAACAAATCAAGAACTTTGGTCCAAAAGCAAGGCGCTGGCTGCTGGAGCTGATGAACGACTGCACTGCATCCTGTCAGATCCCCAAAATCTGGAGGAAAGCAAGAGTCATCGCCATCTTGAAGCCAGGCAAAGACCGCAATGACCCAAAAAGCTACAGACCAATCTCCCTGCTGTGCCACCTCTACAAAGTTCTGGAGAGACTTATTTTGCATAGAATTATGGAAAAAATAGACCCCTGTCTGATCCCACAGCAAGCTGGCTTCAGGAAAGGCAAAAGCTGCACATCGCAAGTGCTGAACCTGACTCAGCACATAGAGGATGGCTTTGAAAGGCAGAGGAGCCCCCAAAGACAATCCCTCAACTGACATTGCAGGTTATAGCGAGCGCCATGAACATGTAGCCCAAACTACCAATGTCCTCCCCAAGCACTAAGGCACACCACCCAAGGACATGCTGCATTATCACGGGGTGTCTGCACCCTACACCACTGGAGAAATTACACTGTCTAGCCAGTATTGCACCACCTGACATCCGCCGGGAAGTAGCAGCCAATAGTGAAAGGACCAAGGCAGAGACATCTCCAGCTCATCCCCTGTTTGGGTATCAGCCAGCACGTCAACGACTTAAATCAAGACAGAGTTTTCTTAGATCTACAGAGACACTCGCTGGAACACCTCAGCAAGCGAGAGTCCAAAAGTGGCAGGCTCAAACCCAGAACCTCAATCAATGGCTGATACCAAATGAGAGACTCCCCCCTGAGCACACAGAAGACTGGGCGACTTGGAAGGCGCTGAACAGACTGCGCTCTGGCACCACGAGATGCAGAGCCAACCTCAAGAAATGGGGCCACAAAGTGGAATCCACAACATGCGAGTGTGGAGAAGAGCAAACCACTGACCACCTGCTGCAATGCAACCTGAGCCCTGCCACATGCACAAGGGAGGACCTTCTTGCGGCAACCCCAGAGGCACTCCAAGTGGCCAGATAATGGTCAAAGGACATTTAATCAACTACCAAGTTTGCACGCTTTGTGCTTTTTTTATCTGTTTGTTTGTTTTGTTACGTTAGAAATGTAATACAATGGTCTGGTTGCCCCTGACACGATAAACAAACAAACAAATAAATAAATACGATATATAGCGTCCCTTCTTTGTGGATTTTCACTTTTCGCGGGTGGTCCTGAAGCATAACAACCGCAATAAGTGAGGGAACACTGTAAGGTCAAGTTTTTAACTTTGTTTATGTTTTTAAATGCATTATAATTGCACTCTCAATTCGCTTCTGACATGATAAATAAATTGTAAATACGTTAATTGCATCTTAAAAAGAGACTTTTTAAAAAAAAAAACCCCACAATATAACCATCAAATAAGAAATAATGACGCAACGAGGCAACACTTTCCCCACAAAATCCACTTAAAAACCAAATACAGAATCAGCAAATGAGAAGATTCAAGGAAAACAGGCAAAGATGGCATCGATTTTGCAAAAGATCCCTTTGTCAACATACCCAGAGAGCACCCCACAACCCCCAAATAAATCATTTCTGTTGACAACAACAATATAGATATTTATATATATTTAAAGAAACTCTTCTAAACCACCCTTCTATTACCCGAAATGGATTACAGGGCATTTTTCTTCCCTTTCCAAAAAACGACAAAGAAAAAAAATATATAAGAGGAAAAGGTAAAGAAAGGAGGAACAGAATCACTGGCAAAGTTGTCGGATGTTTTCGGAAAGCAAGAAAGGGGTGCGTTTTGCTCAAAGAGAAGATCAAAAAAAGGAAAAAAAGGGGGGAGGAAGGGGTCTTTTTTTGTCTCCAAAATGTGTTAAATAGATATATAGAGATATATATATATAGATTATATAGATAGGTTATTATTTGTTCTGGTTTTTATACAAAAAAAGAAGACGTTAAAAACCAAAAAAAAAGGATAATAATTTTTTTGTTCTTTTTTTTTTTGTTTGTTTGTTGTTGTTGTTGTTAAAAAAAAGCAAAATGTGAAACATGCAGGAAAAATACCTTCGTCTGGAGTGGGATTGTTAGTTGATGCCTCCTCACGCTTTTTCGTGAGCGGACCTAAGAGCAAGAAAAAAGAAGAAAAAAGAAAAATGGGACAGGGGGAAAAAAGAGAGAGAAAGATCAAGAAAAAAAGAGATCGTTTTTCGGTTCATCAAAAAGGGGAAAAAGCAATATTTCTTTTCTTTCTTTTTTTTCTGTTTAGCAAAATACAAACAGGTTTTTTAAAGATTTTTTTTTTCCTCTCCTTCCTGGGTTTGGCTTTTGTGTGCATCATGTTTGCATGTAGGCATGGCTTTTGGGTTTTGTTTTTCCCCCACCGCAACAAAACAAAAGAAAACACCCCACCAAAACAAAACACACCGAAACAAAACACACAGAAATATATGAGATAATATCGGAAAGCTGTGAAATTAAAAGATTGGTTAGAGAGGGATAAACCAAGGTGAGGAAAGGAAGGTTAGAAATGGAGGGGGGACCCCAACGTTTTGCACCCCGTTTTCAAGGTTTGGGGTTCCCAGGACAGAGAAGGAAGGGAGAAAAAGGGGGCCAAGTCTTTCCCTAACTGGGTTCCTGGGCCATTTAACTGGGACCCAACCATGTCAAGCAGTGGCAAAAAAAAGCCAATGAGATTTTGGCTTGCATCAATAGGAGCATAGTTTCTAGATTCAGGGAAGTCATGCTCCCCATGCTCTATTCTGCCTTTGTTGGACCACACTGGGAATATTGTGTCCAATTCTGGGCACCACAATTGAAGAGAGATATTGACAAGCTGAGGAGGGCAACTAAAATGAGCAAGGGTCTGGAGAACAAGCCCTATGAGGAGCGGCTTAAAGAGCTGGGCATGTTTAGCCTGCGGAAGAGAAGGCTGAGAGGAGACTTGATGAAGGCCATGTATAAATATGTGAGGGGAAATCCTAGGGAGGAGGGAGCAAGCTTGTTTTCTGCTTCCTTGGAGACTAGGACGTGAAACAATGGCTTCAAACTACAAGAAAGGAGATTCCACCTGAACATGAGGAAGAACTTCCTGACTGTGAGAGCTGTTCAGCTGTGGAACTCTCTGCCCCAGAGTGTGGTGGAGGCTCCTTCTTTGGAGGCTTTGAAGCAGAGGCTGGATGGCCACCTGCCAGGAGTGCTTTGAAGGCAATTTTCCTGCTTCTTGGCAAACTACAGGAAAGGAGATTCCGCCTGAACATTAGGAAGAACTTCCTGTCTGTCAGAGCTGTTCAGCAGTGGAACCCTCTGCTGTGGAGTGTGGTGGAGGCTCCTTCTTTAAGGCTTTGAAGCAGAGGCTCGATTTGGAAAACCTCCCCTCATGGCCTAGGAAGCTCTGGGAATTTCCTCCTCAGAGTTTAGTTCAGTCCCTATCCACACTGCCATATAATCCAGATCATCGAAGCACATAATCCAAATTATCGGTTTTGAACTGGGTCACCTCCTCGTCGCCTTCTTATGGGGGCTCGTCCGGGATAATGTGAGTCTACACAACCGTATATATAGTCTAGTGTAAGGGTCCTCAAACTTTTTAAACAGAGGGCCAGGTCACAATCCCTCAAACTGTTGGGGGGCTGGATTATAATTTGAAAAAAGCATGAATGAATTCCTGTGCACATTGCACATATCTTATTTGTAGTGCAAAAAACCCACCTAAAAATACAATAATTAAAATGAAAAACAATTTTAATGTAAAAACTTATTAGTATTTTAGTGGGAAGTGTGGGCCTGCTTTTGGGTGATGAGATAGGGTTGTTGTTGTTGTTGTTTCAATGGGAAGTGTGGACCTGCTTTTGGGTGATGAGATAGGGTTGTTGTTGTTGTTGTTTCAATGGGAAGTGTGGACCTGCTTTTGGGTGATGAGATAGGGTTGTTGTTGTTGTTGTTTCAATGGGAAGTGTGGACCTGCTTTTGGGTGATGAGATAGGGTTGTTGTTGTTGTTGTTTCAATGGGAAGTGTGGACCTGCTTTTGGGTGATGAGATAGGGTTGTTGTTGTTACTTCAATGGGAAGTGTGGACCTGCTTTTGGGTGATGAGATAGGGTTGTTGTTGTTGTTGTTTCAATGGGAAGTGTGGACCTGCTTTTGGGTGATGAGATAGGGTTGTTGTTGTTTCAATGGGAAGTGTGGACCTGCTTTTGGGTGATGAGATAGGGTTGTTGTTGTTGTTGTTTCAATGGGAAGTGTGGACCTGCTTTTGGGTGATGAGATAGGGTTGTTGTTGTTACTTCAATGGGAAGTGTGGACCTGCTTTTGGGTGATGAGATAGGGTTGTTGTTGTTGTTGTTTCAATGGGAAGTGTGGACCTGCTTTTGGGTGATGAGATAGGGTTGTTGTTGTTACTTCAATGGGAAGTGTGGACCTGCTTTTGGGTGATGAGATAGGGTTGTTGTTGTTGTTGTTTCAATGGGAAGTGTGGACCTGCTTTTGGGTGATGAGATAGGGTTGTTGTTGTTACTTCAATGGGAAGTGTGGACCTGCTTTTGGGTGATGAGATAGGGTTGTTGTTGTTACTTCAATGGGAAGTGTGGACCTGCTTTTGGGTGATGAGATAGGGTTGTTGTTGTTGTTGTTTCAATGGGAAGTGTGGACCTGCTTTTGGGTGATGAGATAGGGTTGTTGTTGTTACTTCAATGGGAAGTGTGGACCTGCTTTTGGGTGATGAGATAGGGTTGTTGTTGTTGTTGTTTCAATGGGAAGTGTGGACCTCCTTTTGGGTGATGAGATAGGGTTGTTGTTGTTGTTGTTTCAATGGGAAGTGTGGACCTGCTTTTGGGTGATGAGATAGGGTTGTTGTTGTTGTTGTTTCAATGGAAGTGTGGACCTCCTTTTGGGTGATGAGATAGGGTTGTTGTTGTTGTTGTTTCAATGGGAAGTGTGGACCTGCTTTTGGGTGATGAGATAGGGTTGTTGTTGTTTCAATGGGAAGTGTGGACCTGCTTTTGGGTGATGAGATAGGGTTGTTGTTGTTGTTGTTTCAATGGGAAGTGTGGACCTGCTTTTGGGTGATGAGATAGGGTTGCTGTTGTTACTTCAATGGGAAGTGTGGACCTGCTTTTGGGTGATGAGATAGGGTTGTTGTTGTTGTTGTTTCAATGGGAAGTGTGGACCTGCTTTTGGGTGATGAGATAGGGTTGTTGTTGTTGTTGTTTCAATGGGAAGTGTGGACCTGCTTTTGGGTGATGAGATAGGGTTGTTGTTGTTGTTTCAATGGGAAGTGTGGACCTGCTTTTGGGTGATGAGATAGGGTTGTTGTTGTTGTTGTTTCAATGGGAAGTGTGGACCTGCTTTTGGGTGATGAGATAGGGTTGTTGTTGTTACTTCAATGGGAAGTGTGGACCTGCTTTTGGGTGATGAGATAGGGTTGTTGTTGTTACTTCAATGGGAAGTGTGGACCTGCTTTTGGGTGATGAGATAGGGTTGTTGTTGTTGTTGTTTCAATGGGAAGTGTGGACCTGCTTTTGGGTGATGAGATAGGGTTGCTGTTGTTACTTCAATGGGAAGTGTGGACCTGCTTTTGGGTGATGAGATAGGGTTGTTGTTGTTGTTGTTTCAATGGGAAGTGTGGACCTGCTTTTGGGTGATGAGATAGGGTTGTTGTTGTTGTTGTTTCAATGGGAAGTGTGGACCTGCTTTTGGGTGATGAGATAGGGTTGTTGTTGTTGTTTCAATGGGAAGTGTGGACCTGCTTTTGGGTGATGAGATAGGGTTGTTGTTGTTGTTGTTTCAATGGGAAGTGTGGACCTGCTTTTGGGTGATGAGATAGGGTTGTTGTTGTTGTTTCAATGGGAAGTGTGGACCTGCTTTTGGGTGATGAGATAGGGTTGTTGTTGTTGTTGTTTCAATGGGAAGTGTGGACCTGCTTTTGGGTGATGAGATAGGGTTGTTGTTGTTGTTGTTTCAATGGGAAGTGTGGACCTGCTTTTGGGTGATGAGATAGGGTTGTTGTTGTTGTTGTTTCAATGGGAAGTGTGGACCTGCTTTTGGGTGATGAGATAGGGTTGTTGTTGTTGTTTCAATGGGAAGTGTGGACCTGCTTTTGGGTGATGAGATAGGGTTGTTGTTGTTACTTCAATGGGAAGTGTGGACCTGCTTTTGGGTGATGAGATAGGGTTGTTGTTGTTTCAATGGGAAGTGTGGACCTGCTTTTGGGTGATGAGATAGGGTTGTTGTTGTTTCAATGGGAAGTGTGGACCTGCTTTTGGGTGATGAGATAGGGTTGTTGTTGTTGTTTCAATGGGAAGTGTGGACCTGCTTTTGGGTGATGAGATAGGGTTGTTGTTGTTGTTGTTTCAATGGGAAGTGTGGACCTGCTTTTGGGTGATGAGATAGGGTTGTTGTTGTTGTTGTTTCAATGGGAAGTGTGGACCTGCTTTTGGGTGATGAGATAGGGTTGTTGTTGTTGTTGTTTCAATGGGAAGTGTGGACCTGCTTTTGGGTGATGAGATAGGGTTGTTGTTGTTGCTTCAATGGGAAGTGTGGACCTGCTTTTGGGTGATGAGATAGGGTTGTTGTTGTTGTTGTTTCAATGGGAAGTGTGGACCTGCTTTTGGGTGATGAGATAGGGTTGCTGTTGTTACTTCAATGGGAAGTGTGGACCTGCTTTTGGGTGATGAGATAGGGTTGTTGTTGTTGTTGTTTCAATGGGAAGTGTGGACCTGCTTTTGGGTGATGAGATAGGGTTGTTGTTGTTGTTTCAATGGGAAGTGTGGACCTGCTTTTGGGTGATGAGATAGGGTTGTTGTTGTTGTTGTTTCAATGGAAGTGTGGACCTCCTTTTGGGTGATGAGATAGGGTTGTTGTTGTTGTTGTTTCAATGGGAAGTGTGGACCTGCTTTTGGGTGATGAGATAGGGTTGTTGTTGTTGTTGTTTCAATGGAAGTGTGGACCTCCTTTTGGGTGATGAGATAGGGTTGTTGTTGTTGTTGTTTCAATGGGAAGTGTGGACCTGCTTTTGGGTGATGAGATAGGGTTGTTGTTGTTGTTTCAATGGGAAGTGTGGACCTGCTTTTGGGTGATGAGATAGGGTTGTTGTTGTTGTTTCAATGGGAAGTGTGGACCTGCTT